ACAGAGAGAGAGAGAGAGAGAGAGAGAGAGAGAGAGTTTGGATACTTGCATTACAAGATGCACTTTCTGGACCCCTAGTTGTGGTTGTTGTTGTTGATTTTTATTAAACAATATCCACGTGGAATAAGGGAGTGGTCCCCCAATTAAATATCTGTGGAAAGTACAATGTGTCTCCACTATAACAGGGCCGACGTGATGAGCTTGATATCATTGTCGAATCCTGTCAGAAACAGGGAAGTTTGGGGGGGGGGGGCTCTGATATAAGTTGCTAATTACCAGTTTATCAGCTATTTCCCCTTTCTTTTCACAGTGATTTTTTCCCTCCCATTCTCAATCTTCCTTTTTCTAATATGTTTTACTCCTAGTCATTGAGGTGAACTAGATACGATTGAATTTGAGATGCTCGGGTAGCAACAAAAAAACCCCCAACAAACAAACAATAACAACAACCACAACAAAAAAAGAATTACATTTATAGGAGCGCAAATATATTATCATCTACAAAGTTTATAGGATAATGTGTGCGCTTAATAGTTATTCAATTTATAATTGAATAGTTACCACAGTTAGGAAAAGGAAAGCTTTTTAGGCATACTGTAGATCTAGTTTTGCTTCGTTATCTTTTTTTTCTACTGTCTTGTCCATTTATTTTCAACAGCATTTTGTTGATGGTTGGGCCACTGTTAGAGCCTAGCATGTCTGTCAGAAAGCCTGTTATAAAAGAACTTGTTCTACAATACATTATTAGAGACCGGTGTCGAGGAGGGGGGGGGGGTATCGTGACCCTCTTATAGGGGGAGTCCTGTTATAACCGAAACTGTTAGATCTATAAGTGGGGACCACGGCTACAATAAAATCAAAAGAGCACTGAAGCAAGGTTTTAGAAACAAAACAAAAATGACTTACACAAAATTGATCAATGGACTCGTCCATTCTCAAAATGTTGTTGAAATCCCCAGGGCAGGCTCGTAGTTTTTCAAGAATGTTGGTACATAATATGTATATAGACAGAACGAGTCGATTCTTCCACTCAAATGCTTTCCTTCTTCCCTTCCTTCTGAAACGCACAACACAAAATGCTGACAACTCAAAAAGGTAGACTACTCATCACCCCTCAGACATTTTCGTTGAGTAAAATTTCGCGCGTACTGTCCACTATTCAAATTGCGCGCGCACTGTCTACCAGTCAAATCAGCCCCAGGACTGACAGGTAGGGCGGGGGGTGGAGAAAAAAGAAAGCTGCAGATATACGTCTATACATAACTTTTATTCATCTCAGATACGTCAGTCAAGTAGAGATAAAATGGGCCAGAAGATCAGGGGTGTGGCTGAAAGGCAGCAGTAAGAAGGAGCCAAGTCGTAGTAGCAGTAGAAAGGCTGCAGAAAGAGTCAGGAGCCCAGAGAAGGGTGCAAAGGAGGTGGGTGGGGGGGTGGGGGAGAAATTGGAGACGAAAGCAGACTACAGAACATTGCTAGAGAGCACGAAAGGAGGTGGAAACTACAGATTCTACAGCGAATTCCAACCAGGTCCACCATCATCCTACCCCAGCAGTGCACGTCAACCGTGCAGACCCATCCCAGCAGGTGGCCTGTTTAGTAAGGCAGCTGAATCACATCGGCAGAAAACACAGAATGCGATGCCTAAACAACGTCGTAGCCACCAAGTACATTGTACATCTGCTCTGTCGGCCACAACGGGCGCGTTTCAGTTTGGCTTTGACAAAAAACAAAAACAACAAACAAACAAAAAACTATGGGGCTGGGGGTGGGGTGGGGGGGGGGGCAGAATTGTAAAAAACAAACAAACAACAACCCATTATTAACAACAACAACAACAACAACAACAACAACAACAACAACTATAACAACAACAACAACAACCCCACCGGTTATTTTACGATGTCGATGGGGTTTCCTTTGCGGACAGAAAAACTGGAACTCGCAATCTTTTTTTAAACATGTATCCTTTAATTTAAAAAATACAAATTTAACAATTGTCATCATTTTTTGTGTGTAAGCTAGTAACTTCTTTTTTCTTTGACTGAATCTTGAGTCAAGCTACTATGATGTATGTTTTTCCATATGCCAGTTTCATAACAAGGGGATGGTTGAACGCATCCAGGTGAAAAAGAGGACACTCGTGACGAACAACCCCCCCACCTCAAACCATTAACGGAACACGAAGTTTCCCCAATGTACAATAGATGTTAAAAATAGTCCGATCATTTCCTGCTCGTGCAGACAAATATATATAAACTCTTGTAGCATCCCATACAAGAGGCATTTGGACCCAAAGTGATTTCAGACACCGACTCGAGGGAACGTTAAACTTGAAAGTTGTTCACCTAACTGCTTTGAGTTTGACATAATTTTGGTGCGCAACTGGAAGTGACAAAAAAACAGAAAATCAAGAAAACAAGCGGCTTGTCAGTTTTTCTCAAAGAGTCGTTCCTGCCTACTAACACAATCGTTGTGCTTTATCAACAAGACAGCATTGCAACTGTTGATGTATTTCTGATACACGAAAACTAAATTGACAAATTCATCCCCGTGAACACGTTTAGTGTGTGGAAGAATTAAGAAAAAAATATATTTGAAAAAAAAAAAAGTTATAAAGTAATTTTTTTTAAATAAACAAGCAAGACAACAGCACGCTTTTAAGCAGCAGCATCAAAGATTCTTTTAATTAAAGTGCCCCTGATATTGGTTGAGAATTAACTAGTCACCATGAAGATTGACCCCTGCCATTACAAAGTTGAGATTTTCCTCATCACCTGTGTGTGCCTTGTGGCGGTGGTTCAGAGTGCAAGCGTCCGCAGACCGGTCTTGATGACCACACAGCCGAGATCGCTGATCAGACCCGGCCCTGATGACCAGTCACTCGTTAACAGTGTCCAGCTTACAGATACAGGTAACTTGTTTTGTTCATTGGTATGTTGTGCTATACTCAGGAATTCCTTCCTTTTTCCCTGTTTTGGGGGATTATTTTATCGTTCTATATTATATTATTGTACAGTGGAACCTGTTCTAACGGTCATCTGGTTGAGACAACCATTTGTAAAAACGACCACTTCTCACTTCTTCTCCCCTTCGTTTTTTTTTTCATTACAACTGCAGTGTCTAGGACGTCCACAAGACGTCCACTTTCCTTGTCTACAATGAGTGGCCGTTTTATACAATTTCGACAATACATACCAGCTGTGTAGACCTTTAGTGCCACTAGGACAAAACATACAACATCATCCTCATCTGTCAATGCCACTAGGACAAAACATCCAACATCATTATCATGTGTCAATATATGCCACTAGGACAAAACATCTAACATCACCAATGCCACTAGGACAAAACATTCAACATCATCATTATGTGTCAATATATGCCACTAGGACAAAACATCCAACATCATCATCATGTGTCAATATATGCCACTAGGACAAAACATCCAACACTATCAATGCCACCAGGACAAAGCATGCAACATCATCAATGCCGCTAAGACAAAACATCTAACATTATCATCATCATCTGTCAATATGCCACTAGGACAAAACATCCAACATCATCAATGCTACCAGGACAAAACACCCAACAACATCAACATCTGAAAGCGAAATGACACCATCAGCAGGGACAGAGAAGTGTACAATAAAAAATCAACTCTTCAAAGTGCTACAACATTGCATATTAATTATTTTCGTTCATCTGCTGCTGCTGCTGCTGCTGCTGCTGCTGCTGCTGCTGCTGCTGCTGCTGCTGCTGCTGCTGCTGCTGATGATGATGATGATGATGATGATGATGATGATGATGATGATGATGATGATGATGATGATGATGATGATTTCATCAAATAAGTGAACTCTTTTGTAACTAAATCGACAGCTGTGAGAAGAATCGAAACAGAAAATGTCTAGTCTACGGTTGAATCTGTCCCCGTCGTTTTATGCAAGAAAAATTCTGTAATTATGCAAACTGAGCCAAAAATGTGAGATGTTGCGATTCTGTTAATTTTAACAAAAGAATAATAACAGAAAATCATGAGAAATTAAGCACAAAATGGTCAAATTTTGCTTAATTATGCCCGGTGCATAAAACCACGGGGACACGGTTTTATTAAGCCTTTGGTTTTTCAAAGAATAAATGTATAATCTAAATGAACCGCAGCAAAGAGGTGGAGTAAAGAGCTAGTCAACTTCCACAAAACCTGGCGTCCCAAAGGGTTTCTCGAGGGTACAAGCCTGAAATTTTTTTCTAGTCTACTCTCAGTCTCTAGGTTTTCCGCGGTCTCTTAGCCCCTCCCCCCCCACACACCCAAAGAGGCCCTGGTTTTATGCCTTCATTATCTCCCCCCCCCCCCCCCCTCCTTTCCTTCCTTCCCTCCCTTCCCCACCCCAAACCGTGACGTATTGTATAGTCTCTCAGTTTCCTTTCATTACTAATGTTATTTCTATTGTTTTTCGCCTCTCCTTCAGATCACAAAACGTTCTTGGGCCCTTTGTTAGACATACTGAGGCACAGACGAGGAAAGCGTAGCTCTGCCCACAGAAGACCCGCCTCCTGGCACAGAAGACACGCCCACCCGCACAGACACACCTCCCGGCATAGACACGCCCACAGCCGTCTGCTCCAGTCCCCGGCCTATGCCCGAGCGGAACGTATCCAGATACCCGACCTGATGACGCAACGAATTACCCAGCTGTGGTGAGTACACTGTCACTGGGACGCGTCATGATGAGGAGGCGGAAGAGGAGGAGGAGGAGGAGGAGGAGGAGGAGGAGGAGGAGGAGGAGGAGGAGGAGGAGGAGGAGGAGGAGGAGGAGGAGGAGGAGGAGGAGGAGGAGAACAACAACAACAACAACAACAACAACAACAACAACAACAACAACAACAAGAAAAAGAAAATTTAAAAAAAAAATTAATTATGATGATGATGATGATAACTGATGAATTAATTAACTACCGCTCAACCACAAGATCTGTGTGCTTTGCTATCTTTTGCTTTTCATTCCAGCTATTTTAAAGTGAAGTTGTTTTTGTTGGGGGGGGGGGGGGTTTGTCGGGGAGCGTTGGGGTTTTCCATTTATTTATTCATTTCCACATTGTCACACCTACCGTAGACATTCTCTTTTCCCTTTCCAAGTTGTCTTTGAATTAGGTGACCACACCTCAGAAAGAATATGTGGGAAGTCCTTAAGTCATACCTGTTGTATTTTGCAAATGAATCAACTGGCGATAGGTATTTCATGATTTTTTTAGCACCACTGCATGCACAACTCCTTCACGAATAAGACGTTATAAAATTGTCACAGTAAAATCCAGAAACAGATGAAGAGCACAGGGGGAAAACGACGGTAGTCACAAACTGGAAATTGTGAGGGTGCCAATTTTAAAAGCTTGTGGACTTATAACTTTATATTTGTTTGACTGGTGGGTTATTTTATAAGCTTGTTGAATGGGAAATCTAACAACAACTATTAACCAACAAACAGCTGAACAGATATACCGTTATGAGTTAACAAGCGTTTAAAATTGGTACCCTCACGATTTTCAGTTTGTGACTACAGTCATTTTTCCCCTGTAGTCTTCTGATGGAAAAACACAGGAGCCATGTGCAGCAACCTGCAAAGCGCGTTCACACACACATATCTCTAGCGTTGTCTATTATTAGGGTAACAAAGGGGGGGGGGGAAGGGGGCAATGTGGAACTCGATCTTACGTACCTTGGGCTCAGGGTTGTGAAACATTATCCAGCAATGATGAAACCAGGAAGGCTACAAGGAGAATCTCCAAAATGAACGAGTGGAGGTTTTCGCGCGCAATGTCTGACCTCAAGATAGGACCAACGAGACCCATGTCTCTCGCCTGCTAGAAGAAGAAGAACAAGAAGAAGAACAAGAACAAGAACAAGAACAAGAACAAGAACAAGAACAAGAACAAGAAGAACAAGAAGAAGAAAAAGACATCACCGTTATCATATTCATAATCATTTCTAAAAATCATTCTGTTTTTGTCTTGTCAATAGACCTAACGTATTCATTTGTTTACTTTTGACAGGACTAATGGCCGTAACAACAGGATGTCAGTACAAACTTGGACTGGAGATTCGGTGCGTGATTAGGTCAACAAGAACAAGCCTTCTGCCCATGGCGCTAGCGAACGTTTTTACTGCTGGGGCCAGCCTACAGAGTCACCGAGGAGCATAGACATAATTTGTCAGAACATCCAAGACTACAATATTTTCACGTCAGCCCGGTGTACCTTGGGGTGTGCCATAGAAGTCTACTTGGAACCAAATGAAGGACAAGGAGGAATGCCCGCAAACTCGACCATAATGAAACTGATGTTTTGCCCTTCATTTGAACGCCCGTGTTGCACATCAGTGCTGTGAAGTGTTTATAGAGAACAAAGAGCAGAGGCCATGACAGTGTCCGATCTAGGTTGTTCTAATTGAAGTCTATGGGCGGTCATGACAGTGCCCGGTCTAGGGTGTTCTAATTCAATTCTGTAGGCGGCCATGACAGTACCCGATCTAGGATATTCTAATTCAAGTCTATGCTGTGGAGTCACCTGAAGCTTCCTTGTGGATAGTGGCGAGACTGTGTGATCTGTCAGTCAGCTGTGCCTGTCATGTTCCCCTGCACAAACCTAGGGAGGACAGTGTATTATGAGCGTGGTGATAGGTTCACGCAACGCTATGTGCCATAGATCTATGTTGTTATAATTGTTTAAAATTGTGTTCATTTTATGCTTTGCTCAGGTGCTAATGGTCTTCTGTTTCCTGACTGCAGATGCCCAATTCTATTTTGAGCATTTTCCCTTCACTTGTGAAGGGACTTTGTCACCCACACGCCGCCCACCCCTACCCTTAAAGAGAAAACAATTCCTCACTTTTATTTTATTCTTTGAAAAATTGAGTATGGGGGGGGGGCTGCCTTTGCATGTAATTAATCGGGGTGTATCTTACGATAAGTCTGCCATGACAAAGATACTAAGAGCGGGAAATGGATATCGTTGACTTCGCCTTTGGATTAGTCAATGAGCCCAGTAGCTCCAAACTCCACCCTGCGGTTCTATGTGCGCTATAAAATGAAAAATTTGGCCCAGACAATTAATCTTCAACATCTCAACGAGCAGAGATAATATGATGTTGGATGAGATATAAAAGGCAGTCAAGCATGCCAACGCATGTATGTCGGCGAGGAACACTTTAAACTTCGGACTAGTTCCTTTCTTAGTGTCATATACTCAGTTGCTAATTAGGACCTACCTCCGATTCCCGTTTGTATCATTTTAGATTTTAGTGGGGAATGGTGGGGGAGGGGGTGGAAGGGGGGTGGTCCCTTTTCTTTCTATCTTTTTTTCTTCTTTTTCTTCATTAATTGTATGTTGGTTTCTTTTGTTTTGTTTTTGTGCGATATTACAATGCCTGAAAAAGTAAATACCACAGTGTTGTGCACGATAACTGCTCAAAAGATTACATTAATATTTTGTTCTTCTTGCCCTCGAGAGACGTTTAGCATCTTGTACATGATGTATGTGATAGAGTCATCGTTTACTGCCATTTTATATTGGAAAACAAAGATATTATTTGCACATACTAGATCTATGCCTAAACGTCTCATATTGTAGATCCTATGTCTATGATGTAAGTTTTCATCCAAACTGTTGCCCTCAACGTGATATTGCCAGAGGCAACCGACGGTGCAAATAGTCAATCGTTTGTTTGTTTGCTTGTTTGTTTGCTTCATTGCTTGCTTTTTGGTTTGCTTGTTTTGTTAGTTTTTTCGTTCCTTGCTTTTGTTTTGTTTTTGATTTGTTAAGTTTCGTTTTTTTGTTTGTATGTCAGTTTGGGGGGG